GGATGCAGAGAGTTTATTACTATCTGATAAGAGCTCCTTTGAACCCCCGTCAAAGCAACTAGCTCTAGTAACAAACTGTTTTCCTAAGCCTGAAAACAAAGAATCTCCCAGAGCATCAAAGAAATTCCTACAAAAAGTGTAGGGTAGAGCTCCAACGAAAATAGCGATAAGCTTAGCAAAATGGCTCATATCAAGGAAGAAATAATTATGAGGAAAGAGTCCTGTAGAGATAATCGGACTGTGCACGAAAATCTTTCTAGAGGAATGAAAATAGCAGAAAACTAACCATGATGGCGATGACAGCATCTGCTTCTACATTAGCTGGTGCAAGCCCGTCGTAACCAATCCTCCATGGACGTTGGCCAAAGAAAATCTGCTAACTTAGGATGCAAATAATGAAGATGTAACGAAGGTAATCTTACAGTATTCTGTATGGCTGCCATAGGGTCTGGGTTCGGATAGGGCTTGGTCAGGGGATTTGCTGAACTCAAACATTCGATAATTCAGGTTATTTGTTATATGCGATGAATGAATGAGAAAAATGAATTATTTACCATTTTTCAAAGCTATTATGCTCTTGTTAACGGCAGAGTACAATGAAGCGGCAAGGTCCAGATGCGTTCCTGGATTCAAAGTAGCTAAAGCAGTTAGTCCGTTCACCACAGCTTGTTCGAAGAGCTGTGCAAAGTGCCAGCACTGGAAGCGTAATATTTAGGATGGTATAATAAAAGTGATTAGGAAACGTACTACCTCCTTAGCATTCCACAGCTGCAATTCGATGTGAGCTAGCTGAGGAGTGGGGTATACACCAGCAGGACCGGCGAAGAAAACTGCTTGATGCCGTCTCATCTGGTTAATCGCCTCTACCGCCATGTTATGAAGGAAACATAACTCACAGATCTGAAACTTAGAGAAATGACTGAATGAGTTTAATGACTTGACGTCTAGACATCCAATCAACACAAGAATTCTAGACGTCTAATCCAGCATATGTACACATGAATCATCACTCACTTTGTAGTTAAGAAGCCCAACAACGCTTCGCCATTCAAAAATATCGATGGGATCCCAACTTTCCATGTGATCTTTGCACTGCTCATAAGCAAGGCGATAATTTCTAAATAAAAACATTGATTAAGCAAAAATAAAGTCAGCCATTGGTTTCAGCAAATAATTCTGGTTCTTCGCAACCTAAACAATTTTGAGTCCCATTTCAAACTACAAGCGCTTGCTCGAAGAAAAAAGTCAAAATAGCACTTTCACTGGGGAGGCAAGATATATGATAGCTACACACTTGAAACATAAGGAGAGATGTACTGGGATAAATTAAGTTGAATAATCATTTTTCTGTTTTTAAAAGGATAAGATCCGCAAGAAGGATCAGAGAAGAGTGAAGATCACTAGTGAATGGAAAAAAAAACGAACTAAGAAAGAAAAACTAAGTTCATAACAAGCGTGAAAACAAAAATGATGAGACGACTA